TCAGCTCACTGGAAAGAATCGAAAAAAATGGATAGGAAGGACACCAGTGAGCAGCTCAGAAGGGCTGAGGCAGAGAGATCTCAGCTTCAAAGCCAGCATTGGCAACACAATTTAAAAAGGGGGGGTTGTCAGAGAAATGGCTCTGTGGTTAAAAGCAATTGCTGTACTTGCTGAGAGGGCCTGGATTCAATTCATAGCACCTACAGAGCAGTTCAAAACCCCAGGTCACTCCAGTTGTAGGACACCTGGCACCCTCTTCTGGCCTCCACACATGTTGTTCACATTTATACAGACACATAAAATGATAGATCTGAGAGAGAAAGAATGATCTAAATTTTTTGGCCCAAGTAACTCTAACTGCCTCCAAAGTGGGAGTTAACAGACACCTCAAGTTAGATGTTTGTTGAGTGTTCAGAGATTAGGACCTATGCCACTTTAACAGGAAATTTTGTGACTGAAATAAAAGGAAGTATCCAGCCTGGAGTTTAGGTATTGAGGGGGTATGGAAGCTGAAATTAGCCAGAAAAAGGAAAGAAGGGCAGCGGATTGAGTTCTTTGTTTCTGAAGTCAATGAGATGGGCAGGAACATGGGGGGGGGGTAGAGAAGGAGGTGCAGCTGAAAGCCAGGTGGAGGAAAGAGCTCCAAGTTAATTCACAGCAAGACTGAGGATTAGATTTAGCAGCGTGGGGGCTAGGGAGATGGCTCAGTGGTTAAGAACACTGGCTGCTCTTCCAGAGGACCCGGGTTCAATTCCTAGCACCCACATGGCAGCTCACAATTGCCTGTAACTCCAGTTCCAGAGTATCTAACATCCCCACATAGACATGCATGCAGGTAAAACAACAATGCACTTAAGATTAAAAAAAAAAAAAAGTCAGATTTAGCAGTGTGGAGCCTGGGATACGTAATAAACACAATTTTGGTGTAGGAATGTCTGACTGAGGTGAGAATGGGGCAAGATTTGGAGCAAAGATGGTCAAAGAGGAAAAGACCTGGTTAGAGCCCACATGACAGTCAGGAAGATCCTAGACCAGAACCACAGGCTCCTGTGTACAGTCTTAATCTCTTGAGCCATTCATGACCTACAGGAATTTTATACTGATGCCTTTTAAGTAAGGAAGCTGTGAATCTCTAATTGAGGAATGTTATTAATGGTAGGCTGAGTTCTGGGATGAATGCTGGGAACGGGTTGCAATCTCTGATGCAGTGCCAAGTTCCTGCCAGTCGTTCTAGCTATCTAAAAGGCTTCCCTCCTATGGCAGATGCTTTAGGAGGCTGGCCTGGGGATAATGCAGTTTAGCTCCCTCTCTGCTCCTGTCAGGTTGATTTCTTAGGTGAATCCAAGATTTATACACATCTTAAGACTTCTTTAAAAAAAAAAAAAAAAGACTTCTTGTTCTTGCACTGTTATAGGTTATAGCCTAATGAAGAGCAGAGGTGTGGTGATATCTTGTTTACACTGTAACAAATAAAGCTTGCCTGAAGATCAGAGGGTGGGGCTAGCCACTAGTTAACCATAGAGGTCTGGAGGTCTAGACAATCAGACAGGAAGTGAGGTGGTTGGGTGGGGAAAGGAATATAGGTAGGAGGAGACAGGAGCTTGAGAGTCTCTTTTCAGTCTGAGGATTTCGTAGAAGAAAGCTCTAGTGGCTGGCTGCTCTGCTTCTCTGACCTTTCAACTTTCATCCCCTAATCTATCTGACTCCAGGCTTTTATTAGAACTCATGCAGAGGAATCTTTTTTTTTTTTTTTTTAAAACATTGCTGTTACATTTTACTTTTAAGTTTGTTGGTATGCACATGCTATGGCATGTGTATGGAGGTCCAGGGGAGTCAGTTCTCTCCTTCCACCATGTGGGTCCTGGGGATCAAACTTAGGTCATCCAGCCCAGCAGCAAGTGCCTCTACCAACCATTGAGCCATCTCACTGGCTGGCTGTTAAAGAAGCCCTTTTAAGTGCTGGGAGAACACAGATTGTTTTTTCCCTATTCCTAAGTTTAGGCTGAGTAGAGGACCCATTTACATGAGGAATTCCTAGAGAAGGGCAGACTGACTAGAGGGGGGTGTGCAGGGCTGACTGCTTTCTCAGAACTTGTAACATCATCAGGGTTAGTAAGATATAAAATCCTGTCAGTAAGATATAAAATCCTGTCAGAAGGTAAGGGCCTTATGCCCTTGAGAAGGCTGGCCTTTGGAAAGGCATTATAGTGGTACTATCTAGAAAACCAGATGTTCATGGAGCCAACTAAGCCCTGGCCTGATGTGCTGTCTGCTCCAGGAATTTTCAGATGTATTCTTTTCATCTACAGATCTCCCTACTAGCCCTGTGGACCTGGTTATCAACTGCCTGGATTGCCCTGAGAACGCCTTCCTGCGGGATCAGCCCTGGTACAAGGCAGCTGTGGCTTGGGCCAACCAGAACCGGGCACCAGTGCTCAGCATAGACCCTCCTGTGCATGAAGTTGAGCAGGGCATTGATGCCAAATGGTCCTTGGCCCTGGGCCTGCCTCTGCCACTGGGGGAGCACGCGGGCCGAGTCTATTTGTGTGACATTGGCATTCCCCAGCAGGTCTTCCAGGAGGTTGGCATCAACTACCATTCACCCTTTGGCTGCAAGTTTGTCATTCCCCTGCACTCTGCATAGAGGGGCTCTGGGCAGCTGGACCCTGTATTCCCCTGCTCTACTCCTGCCGCCATACCCGACAACGGACGCCTTAAGGATGTGAAGCTTTGTGGACCTTGAAGATTATCTTTTGGATTGTTTCTTCTGAGAGGACAAAACATACTTAAAACTTGCCTGCCACCTTCCCTTAGTCAGGGAAGGCTTTTCCACTGGCATGCATGTCAGGGGTAGACCAGTGGCTCCAGGCATCTTTCTATCCTACCATGCCTCCATTCAAGTGGGGCTTTGTTTACAGACATAGGCAGCTCTAAGACTGTTTCAGGTTTACAGCCACTGGGCATGGGCTGGCACCTTGTGGGGTGGTCCAGGGCCTATTGGGGTCTCCACCCACCCTTTTTCAGAAGGCCTTGTCTTTCCCATGTTTCCTGTGGCCCTGCAGCTAGCCAGCTCACCCTTACTCTAATCATGTAGATCAGGCAGCATGGCAGCTATCCAGAAGGAGGCAGACCTTTGTTCTCCTTATGTCCTGAGAGTGCTGTCTCTACCTTCCCCCAGTGCCACCCAAGTTTGTTTGGAAGCTTTGAACCCTCCTGAGATGTTCAGTTTTATGATGGAACTTTTCCTGGGGAGTGTATTGGGATGACTGTAGTGAGATTCTGGACTGGCTGCTTTGCTGTTATCTTGCAGAGGTTTTGTGCCTGTGAGGCTACAGTGCCCATTCTAGTTGGGGGCCAGACGTTAAGGGTGCAGCTTTTCAGTACTGGGGAGATCCTGGGGATGTCTGGTGCTGAGCCAGAAGAGGCTCCTTGGTGCTTCTGTCCTAGGCCATCACTTCCTACCTCCTCCTTCCCCATAAATAATATTTGTTTCCCCTTCTGCCATCTCTGGAAATGGTCCTCTGCAGCTAACCTAGGATAGGTTACATGTCCCCCTCCCTCAGGCCATGGCCTCACTGTAGTTCTTATGTCTGGGCTTTAACCCTTTATAGTTGCCCTCCCCAGGTGTGCAGACTTGGGACTAGTGACCTGTCTCAAACATGCCAAAAATGAGCCCAGTTCTGGATGACCTTGCTGGTGGGGCTCAGTCATGGGAACATCATGTTGCTCAGATCCTAAGGCATTATCTTCAGGATTGTCCTGGACTTGGGTCCTATAGGCTAGTAGGATAGGACCTTGCCTGGAGCCTTAGCAGGGACTTGTTTTGTACTTTGAAGCTCTCTGCCTGCAGGCTTCTTTCTGCTGTGTCCATCACTGGATGAGGGTTATAGGTGGACAGGCAGATGGGCTTGCTAAAACGTTTGGGTATTGGGTAAAAACCCTGATATCATAGATTTCAAGCTTTTTTTTTTTTTTTCTTTAAACAGGAACATGGCCACAAACAGATAGCTTTTCCTTTCTTTAGTTATCTCCAGCTGCAGGAAAGAGGCCAGAGGACTATGAGCCTCGGCTGTGATTTTCAAGCCGGGCTTCTTTTCTGAACACAGGGTTACAGTTGGGACAGCAAGGAGCCACTACAGCTTAATAGACACATATATAATAAGGTAACTCTGCTCTTAAAGATGGCTAGCACAGGAAGCCTCTTCCTCTTCTCCCTACTCTTGGCCTGAGGTCTGAACCCCTGCTTGAGTTATTGAAAATGTTATTCCTACCTGTAGCTCTTCTTGGAAGGTCCTGCCTAGTGGCTGGCTTCAGTCATATGATCTGATCTGTCAGTATCTCATGCAGCTCTTGGGAAACCTAAAGCAAGCACTACAATAAAGTGTCAAGAGTTCTGTACTGTCTAAACTGCTTTGTAGAGTGTGATGGACTGTTTCTTCAATCCTTAAGAGCCTACCCTCATCACCATGATTGTTGGGTGTGTATAGTGACATGATGGCTAAGGCAAAACCAGATTCTGCTTGGCTACCTATAGTGTGCTATGTCCCTTGGGACTGTAAGATGCAAAAGTCTTCTAGGTCTGGCAAGTCTGCCACCTCATCCCTATCCTGGTGCCAAAATCACTCGGCTTAACCCTAGAGCAGTGGTTCTCAACCTTCCAAATGCTGACCCTGTAATATATAGTTCATGTGTCGAGCCCCAACCATAAAATTATTTCCATTGCTATTTCATAACAAGTTTGTTACTGATGAATCGTAATGTGAATATGTTTTCTGATGGTCTGTGACCTCTGAAAGGGTCATTGGACCCCCAGGTTGAGAACTGCTGTCCTAGAAGATGGTCCAGCTTCTGGCTTATTCATTGGCTTGCCTTTCTGTGTCTGGCCCAATCGACACTTAGCTTTCCACAAGCTGAGCTGCTAAGAAAGACTTTATTAATAAGGTCAGTCAAAGAAGGGAGAAGGCAAGGAGCCTGGAGATGGACACACTGGTACCAGGGGGTTACAAACAGTAAGAAACACTTTATTATAACTTTACAACATATAAATAGCTTGGGTCCAATCTGTGCTTTCTGGCAGCTGGGCACCACATCCCCCCGTCCCTTGCAGGCTCCTGCCTTCCTTCACATTGCACTGTTCATCGGTGGCTCTGGCTCTGAGGCCAGTGGGAGAGGCTGGAGAAAAGGGGCAAGCAGCCCAGTCCAGCTCTCCATCTCCTCGTGTGCTGGCCTGCATCTGTCATCTGCTGGGGTTACGGCTGCTGTGGAAGGACCGCTCCTCGGGGGTCAGGCCAGCAAAGAAGGGATGCAGCAATGCTTCTGCCAGTGTGATGCGCTGAGCAGGGTCGAACTCTAACATCCTCCTCATCAGGTCAAACAGCTGCACATGCTCCAGGGAATCCTGGAGCATGTAACTCTGCTCAAGGACACAAGGTGCCTCAGTGTGACGGCAGGGTTGTGGGAAGCCACCGCAGTCCCCTTGCCTCTGGGATGCCTTGCTGGGATGGGTTGAGGAGGCAATGATGCCTCCTTAGAGGGTTACTTCTGCCCTCCCGGGCAGACCAGCTCCTTTCCTTTCATGCTCAGAACTTTAGGCTACCGGGTAGGATCTTGCTGGGTTGGTGCTTCTACCCCACATGCAAAGTTCTGATGGGTGGGTAGAAATCACCTCTGCGAAATGCACTTGTCCAGGTACCAAATAACCGTTGACAGGCCTCCTTCCTGGCCACATCTAGGTCTTCCCTCCCCCTTGCCTCAGTCCTGCCTAGTTCTTCTCAAAATTCAGAAAAGAGAGGGACAGGAAGCGACAGTCTGACAGCTGGCTCTTCTGGTGTTTCCCCATTATATTCTCAGCCCCCTGTGGAAAGGGGCAGGGCTAAGGGCCCCTCAGGGGCAGCTTGCAGAAAGCCTTACTGCCAGTACCCAGCAGGCTTGGGTGCTGCCTCACAGAGAACTGGGATGGTCAAGCAGCTGTTGGCTGCCCATCCTGTCTCTGTTGCTTGTTTGCCCAATGCCTGGGGTCTCCTTGGCATGAGCTGAGCTGGGGGAGCCAGAAACTGACCTTCAGAGGTTTGCAGTTCTCCTTCACATACCGCCCATCAGAGCTGTTCTCATCCCAAACCAGGCCCCCTTTGTAGAAATATTTCTGCTTCCTGGAAAGTCAAGAATGAGAAGAAAGGGGAGTCAAAGAGCGGAAGCCCTCAGGGTCTGGGCTCAGGGGGGAGGTGGGAAAGTAGTTGCTATCAAGTCTCCAGGTAGCAACAGGGCCAGAACTGAGATGTGGGCCTGATCTTACAAAGGATAGTAGGGGCAACAGATTTTACCAGACTGGTTGGAGGGACATACAGTAAAGGTTATTAGGAGCTTAGAGAACCACAGAGTACTTGGCAAAGGCTATGTCTCTGGTCCCAGCTGATGCAGAACCATGGAGCCTTCTTACCTGGTACGGTGGATCATGTGTGATGGGATGGGCCCCAGGATCTTCTCCATCATAACCAAGTGCTCTCTGTTTTCATGGGTCTGCAGAGGACCAGGGACACAGCAACGAGGAATTAGGCCCAACCTCTGCCCACTTTGGGAGAATAAAGGGTGAAGAAAGATAGGCCAAGAGCTCTCCCTGCTCCAGGAGAGGAAAACTGTCTCAACCCAACCTGGTAGCAGCCCAGAGGCCTGGAACCAGGGCCAGGTTCATGTTCTCTGGCCCCACAGGTAGACCTGGCTGACTACATACCAGGTTGGTTCTTCATGCCACAGGATGCTCATGATATGCTTTTGCCCAGACAGAATCTGTTTATACCCAGTCTTGTCCTTGATGAAATCCTTCCTACCTGGTTTAGACTCTTCAACTGATTCCTTCCCCTGAGCAATTATAACCCCTAAGAGTCTAGATTCTCATGGTAACTGGTAGGATAGAAGGTATCAATTCCTTAACCACACAGAGCTTTCTGACTATGTACCCTGCAACCCACCAAGTCAGTACTATACCTGGAAGAGCGTAAAGCCACGGTAGTATTCGAAGAGAATGCAGCCAATACTCCAGACATCACAGGGCTGTGCCCAGCCCAGTTCTGTAAGACAAGATGGTAAAATATGAGACCCAGCACCCCACATCCCTAGGAAGCTGCCACTCTGGCTGGCACAGCTCTTGCCCAAGCCCCACTAACAGAGCTGTTTCTGACTAAAACCAGGTCTATCTGAGTGTCTCAGGTATTGTTCAATACCGGGTGGCAGACTGATGTGTACTGTCAAGTGGGTACCCTCACTTTGAGATGGTCTTGTGTAGCCCAAGGCTGGCCTTAAACTGATATTTTCTGCCTCTACCTTCCAAGGACTTGGATTACAGGTGTGTGCCACCACATCCAGCTATTCATTTTGACAACTGCCCAGTATAAACAATATTGGAGGCTATGAAGCCACTCACCAAGAATCACCTCTGGTGGGCGATAGTGACGGGTGGCCACAATGGTGGTGTGATGTTCGTGGTCAAATGTGGCACTGCCAAAGTCTGCAACTCGGATGCTGGTGTTCTTCACTGACTTCTCCTCGCAGCTCTGAAGGCAAGGCAGGCCATCTAGGTCAGTCTGCCCAGGTAGGTCACCTACCTTGGAGCAGGGCCACACTGTTGCCCACCCAGTCAGTGTTCTACCTTGTGCTCATTGTAGAGGGTTTCAAACTCAGAATTCACAAACAAGATGTTCTCTGGCTTCAAGTCTGTATGGGTCAGCTGGTTCTCATGTAGAACTAGGGGAGGGAGAAGCATGTATTGAGAACCCAGGCTTGCTCATCAGCTCTTGGCCAGAGCTACTCACACCACACACAACCCCAGCAGGAAGCTGGCCCTAACCCTTCGTAGCTTATTTCTTTTATTCATTCCTTTGGGTTTGGTTTTGGTTTCTCGAGACATGGTTTCTCTGTGTAGCTTTCCTTAGCTGTCCTGGAACTAACTCTGTCGACCAGGCTGGCCTTGAACTCAGAGAGAAATGTCTGCCTCTGCCTCCCAAGTGCTGGGATTAAAGGCGCGTGCCACCACCACATGCCCTTCCTAGCTTTAAGAGCTCTGTAAGTCCTCACAAGCCTCAGAGGCAGGGAGGGAAGGAATGCTTTCAAACAGCCCCTCTACCACTCTCTAGAGACAGACTTAACATCTCACTAAAGCTGCAGTATTAGTCCTTATCCTCAGCACTAGCTATGTAACAGGGTTCACTGCAGCAAAGGTATGATTGCTGATCAGATGCCTATGAGCCATCCCAGAGCAGGAAAGCCTTCTGCCAGTTTCACTGGCACTTTCAACTACTCATAACCTTTCAGCTTCAATGTTCCCATTTGGCCTGGAAGATCCTCACAACTCCATGACCCCATCTGAGCCATACTTCCAGCAAGTTCCCTCTCCACTACTGAGTCAACACATTCTAGACCTTTGCAGAACCGTGCCCCTTACTTGGTTCTTTTCCCCTGTCATCTACTCAGGCCCTGTACATCTTCTCAGCTCTAGGCCTTTCACTTGTCACTTTCCAAGATGCCTTTTCTATATTACATAAGTCCTAGTGCACTGAGCATTGGTTCCATCAACGCTGGTCTTCAAAGCTGGTGGATATTTGAGTGACAGGGAGCAGGACCTGAAATTTTGTCAGGTCCACCTTCTACCTTTTCCTCTTTTCTATGAAGGTGAAGGCAGAGTCAGTAGCCAGGCAACTTCTAGAGTCCGTTCCTGTTTTCTTCCTAAGAACCCAGGAAAAAGCCTGGCACACTGAAGACAGGACCTTTTAGCCTCTGAGAAGGACCTTTTAGCCAGAGGCCTAGGTCTGACAGATTTTGCAGAACCATCAACAGTGTGCTAGAACTGGAGGGTGGCAAGAACACTAGGTGATTTTGTTTTAATGGGCACTTACATCTAAGGGCATGGCAGAGCTGGTAAGCCATGTGCCGGACATGTGGTAGGGGGTAAGGCTGGAAGTTGTTCTCCTTCAGGAACTCAAAGGTGTTCTTGCCCAGGAGTTCAAAGGCGATGCACATATGACCATGGAAGTTGAACCAGTCAGACATCAGGACACACAGGCTAGAGGGAAAGGATAGGTGGGGTTCAAGCTCTACCTCACCTGACTCAGGGTAAAGCCACTGTTTTGCATACCAAGATACAAAGCAAACCTCAGAGCCAGAGTACATGTCTCAATCCACTCACTATCACACAGATGAACTCTGAGAACTGTACTTCCTATTGTGTGGAGGGATTACATTTTAGGCCCAGCTCACCCATGGCTAGAAATGGTGAGCAGCCCTGCCACACAAGTTACCGAGGGGGAGATAGTACAGCACAGGCCTCCAGGTACTATTGAGCTTCTTGAGGGCCTGGGCAGGTATATCCCCTCTGCTGAGAGTAGCACAGTGAAGTGCTTGCAGAGATTTGCTGGCAAAGAAAAGCTCTCTTTATGTGTCCAAACAAGTGTCACAAAGCGAGATAGGATAGAACCTGAAGTCCAAGGGCACTTTCCAGAAAGACCCAGCACACTCCCCTGACAGTGTTTTGAGAAAGCAATACCAAACTCCTGTGGGGCACTGAGAAGTCCCTAGGGTCCAGGCAACTGTAACTAGAGGATGCTCCCCCACTGAGAAAACCCATCCCATGCCTTGCAGACACTCACAACTTATTCTCTTTGTCCTTCTCCTTGATTTTCTTGAGAACATTAATTTCTAGACGGGCAGCCTCCCGGTACTTGCCCACATTACGGATGATCTTCAGGGCAACCTGTGACTTCCCTCTGTAGACCGAGAAAGAAGTAAAGGCTCTCATCAGCCAAGAACCCGGCTTTCTCCCCTTTTCTGAAACCCAGTAACTCAGTAACACCACTACATAAACCACAGATCCTGAGACAGTTTATACTTGAGGTGCAGCCTGCTGAAAGCAACACCAGACTTCCAATTACCAGATAAGATCCCCTGGCACCCATGAATGTTCTTGGTTCCTATGCTGTCATACACCTTTAGGCTCTCAGAAATTTCTAGCTCCCCAGAAGAATCCAGGCAGAAGAGTTGAGGCCAATCCTGACCAACCCAGCCCCTGGAAGCTTATTTGATAACCTATCCCTGTAGGCCAAGCTGTCCTACCAAGAGCTCAACCACATACTTTCTTGACCTGGGCAATAGTGAAGCTTAACTTCTTCACTGAAAGCCTGGGCCACTCCCTACAGCACACTCTAATCCAAGTCCTTTCCCCCAACTATCTAACTGCCTCAGCATTTACCACCAGCTAGAGGGCCAGGAACTCCATCAATATCCCATGAGAGTTCCCACTATTATTTTCCATCCTTCATACCCTAACCCCACTCTAGCAGGCCATTTGCAAGCTGTGAGCACACAAAATATGTCAGGCTGGGCTGCCAAGATTTGTCAGTGAGTGCTAGTATTCAGGTACCAGTGCAGACCTGAAATGAGGTGGCCCTGGCCTACCACGGTGTACCCTCTGGTGCCTCAAGGGCTGGCCTTGATGCTGGAAACAAGTTCATAGGCCCAAAGGCAAAGACTTCAGAATGCTGTTTTGCTAATTCTCATCCATTTTTCTGGTTTCTTGGGCAGGTGCAGGCTAAGGAGAGGCCATCACTTCAGATTTCTGAAACAGCCCCCCATTCCACCCCCAGTAGTCTTATCTTTAATACAGGTGTAACTCATTCTGAAAGAAACCCCTGCCAGGGCTGCTGGCAGAGCTGAATTTCACCTCCACCGGCCTGCACTGACTCCCTTTGAATTCTTTAAATGTTCCCAAGACCTTATGTCTGACCTTTAGTGATTTCAGGCTCATTTCCCACCTCCAGCTACTCAAGGAGGGAACAGCCCATACCCTGTAGCTGTCTTCCTGTGCCAGAGGTCTTGGATCTGTCTTATCTACATCTGGTCACAGGACAGTGCCCCTATACTCATTCTTGGGTTATGGTGGATGAAGAGGTATCTGAATGGAAACAGGGAGCAGAAGGAAGCCTCTCCATCACATTAGACTTCATCTCATGGCTGAAAGAATGGCTGACTTTTGGTTCAATGGTTCTTTTAATCAGCCCACTTGATGTGGGAGAACCATGAACAGCAGGCCCAGCTCAGTCATCAATGGCTGAGGTGTAACTTGGGCAACCTCAGAGGATGTTCATGTTTCATCTCTGAAGCAGTGACAGTCATGGCTCAAACGAGGACACCAGTACTCTTTTGCTAATGCACTAAAGCAATCAGAGGTTATTAGACAGGAACACAACTGGTTCCCAGAGGGTTGCTCTCACCTACAGCTATAGGGAAGAAAGCAAGGATCCTAGTCTGGCAGATGATAGGAGGGTAAGTTTTATACTGTTAGGATTGGAGGGAGTCATTTGGCCTCAGCAGAATGACACAGACAGGCACCGCCTCCCCAGTCTGGACACACTCAACATGGACTAAAGATCTTAGCCACACTGGGATGGGCACCAGCTGCTGGATGAGAAGGCAGGAGTCTCATTTCCCTCAGCTGGAACCTCTCAAGCAGACACGGAAGGGGCAAAGACAGTATGAGGAGCCAGCAGCATTCTTAACCTCTAGGCCCAGAGGGAGAAGGAGTAAGGTCCCCCTACCCTGGTCTTATTTTTAACATGGGCGATAACTCATTCCAAAAGAAACCCCTGCCAGGGCTGTTGGCAGAGCTGAATTTCACCTCTACTGGCCTTTGAATTCCTTAAAGGTTCCAAGAACCTTGTTGTCTGTCCTTTTCTCTGCCTAAGAAACCAGATAAAAAGGATGACGCCTGACCAAAATTCTCTAAAAACCATAAGCCAGGCCTTTGGTCCTTCCCTGTGATCAACGCTACAGTCAGAAAGGTAACCAGAAGTTCTTGGGCAGGGATGTCACATGCCTGTCAAATCCCAAGAATTTCTCCCTTACTTCATGAGATCAGCAACACCCAACATATACATACAGCAGTGGTGCTACCCATCAAAAAGAGCTGCACCCTCACGAACCCCAAAGTAGCTCTTCCAAGGATGCTCATACCTAGAGTTGGCTGTGCTGTTCTAGCATGCTCACCTGGCATGGTCCAAGCACTCCACCACCTTGCCAAAGGTGCCTTCGCCCAGGTTCCCCACGATCTCATCTGTGAGAGAGAAGAAGCTAGGCATGAGAGACTGCAGGGTTGGAGTCTGGCAGCTCCTGTAAGTTCAACAGCATTCAAACCCTCAAAAACAACAAAGGTTCTTTGCTCACTGCTACACTCTTAAAAACAGAAGTTGCTAGTGTCTGTGTCATTCAGGCAATTACTGGTGGCCCCACTAAGGCGCCACGCGCACTAGAGGCCCCTCCACGCAGGAGAGGTCTCATCTAACAAGGGGGATAGAAAGTAGAGAGGTAAAGTTTTACGAAAGGTGGCTGTACATCGCTCTTGGAGCCAATCGCCGATCCGGCACACCAGGTGGCCCTCCTTGTCATCTTCCACACTCCGGCTGCTGCGCTTACTGCTCTGTTGGCTTCTCTGCATGCACCGCCCCCCGAAACGCCATCCGACCAATCGCATGGTAGGCGGTTCCGATTGACAGATTGAGGTGTCAGTCAAAGGCAGAGGTGGAGACGGTGAGGAGCCGGTGGGTTGGTTGGTTGGATTTTCCAGATCCCAGCATTTCATAAGGCACACAGCATATATAACGATAGGGATATTGCAAGGGACACGTCAAGACACAAACTGACTTCAAAACAGAAAAGCAAAAACAGCTACAGGTATGTAAGAAAACTCGGACATTATCTCTAAGAAGAGTGCCACAAATGCTCAGAAAGATGTCCAGCCTCTGACACAGAGGGGCCAGGCCCCAAGGACAGCCACAGCCCTGACTCCCTCTTCTGAGTCTCCCCCGCCCTGACCCTCCCATGACTTTGGCCAGAGCTGAAGACGCAATGAGAACAAACGGCACAAAAAGGCGGCTGGCCCAAACTGGTCCAACCTTCTGGAATGGTCAGAGGGCTATCCTGGCTTTAGCTGCAGCAGTATGCTCAGCCTGCCCTTGCCTGCCTCTGCTCGCCCACATAACCTTACAACATGCTCAACAGCTGCCACATAAAACCATACTACCTGCCCCCACATGACATCCTTGGCCAGACTTAACCAACTACCAGAAACAGCCTTCTGCCAACAGCTCTCCTGCCACCAGTCTCCAGCAGGAAATGAGCCTGGCTGAGATCCTCCAGGACAGCCGACCTTCAGGCTCCAAGCCAGCTCCTGACCTGGCTTTAGGACCTGTGTCACTCACAAACCAATCCCGTCCCATAACAACAGAGGGCACCAAAAATAAGCAGAGCAACAGACTTACACTGCCATCCTGTGGCAGCATGTGGCAGCATGTGTCTGAAGCCACAGGCCATGCTGGACTCAACCTTCAACCCATGCCACTCAAGTCACAGAGCACTGAGCAGAAAAGATACCTCCAATGAACCCACCACTACTATTCAGAGGCCTCTTGGCCAGCAGGAGGACAACATAGGGAGAACAGATGGGGAGCAGAGAAGAGAGCACAAAACCTCAGAAACACACAAGTGACTTTCCTTTTCCAGGGGATTGAGTACAGTGTGGACTCTTGGTCTGTTCACCCCACCACCCTAGAATGCTGGCCAACCTGTTTTTAAGTGGTTTGCAACAAGATGAGGCCTGGGACCCCATCACACAGAGAGCTGCCTCTCCTTATCACAAGTACCCCACCTATCAAGGAACAAGGCAGAAGAGAGCCTAGCTGGAAGTTGGAAGCTCCCCATCTGAGCTGTCTGACAGGGTAAAGTGATATGCTCTTACAGACCATCAACTTGGAGAAGGCTCAACACAGAAATTCAAGATCTGTATCAAAAAAGAGAAAGGGCTAGGAAGTCAGGCAGTGGTGCCTAGCACTCAGGAAGTAGAGGTAAAAGGATCAGAGTTTTAGGCCAACCTGGAATACATACCAAGATTTTCAAAAACAAAGAGGAAATGTAGGGATTGGGGTGTGAAATAGCTCAGTGGTAGAGCACTTGCCAAGTATGCATGGGCTCCGGGTCAGACTCCCAGCATTTAAGAGGAAAAAAAACATGACTGGTAAAGTGTCCCTTTTTATTGGGTAATGCAGACTCTGGTCCTCTGGGAAAGCGGGGGTTTGAAAGTGAGGCGACAGAGGTGGTCAAGTCCACACTCAAAGCACTTAGCTATGTGCAGAGAGATGAAGGGGACAAGACCTGATATGAAAAAGACCAGGTCATATAAACCTCAAATCGCAAACCAGCAATCTTAGTATGATCCCTGAGAAGTGTGTCCCAGGCATGTGTACCATGTAGCCTATGTCTGGAACAGCGGGTAGACACAGACAGGCTGGAAACCAGCCAGCGCCGGAGCCAGAGCCCCTACAGTTGCCACTGGCAAGGGGCCAGAAGATGGAGGGCATAACGTCCTTGCTTAGCCCTGTACCAAACACACACACGCACACGAATGTGTGCACACACAATGGTATGTGTGCACAGGGCTGCCAGTACTCACCCAGACCAGCCAGCCTGAGAGAAGGCTAGAAAGAGATGAGGCTTTTAGGCCTCTATTAGCACACTCTGGCCACCACTCACCGAGGAGGCGCTGCTACAAGACCTGGTACGGCGTTTGTGACAGTGGTGGGCATGCTTTCGGGTACGGTATGGCCCCCTCTCTCGTGACCGTCTCCGATGTCGAGAACGTGAAGACCCATAGCAGTCCTCTCCAAAGGATGGGCTCCGCTCTTCACACCTATATGTATCACTATCACGGTGTTCCCGGTATCTCCGCTGGTAGGGTAGGCGGTCATGGCTGCCAAGAGAGGGTGAGGACATGAGTCAAGAAGGGCCCTACCAGCAAGGTTTCTGCCAGCAGGCAAGAAGCCCTTGGCAGGGCCCCTGCAAAGGCTCTTAAGGAAGGCCTGTCAGAACTGAAATAGCCAAGCTGAGGGAAGTAAACAGGAAGAGAAGGTGCAAAGGTACCAAGCTTACTCTCCAGAGCCTTGGGTAATGATAGTGTCCCCCCAGTGCCCCAAGGAATAAAGAAAGTGAGCACAGGGAAAGGCCTCCAACAGTGACAGAGTTGTCTAGCCTGGTACAACTGTTACTTTGGTCTAGGGACTCAGACAGGACTTGGGACCAGTTCCTACTTGCCACCGAGGAAGGATCACAGGTGGGGTACTGGCCTAGAAAATACAGAGGAAGAAGGACCACTTTGTGACAAAGAAAGAAAGGATGACAAGGAAGGCAGCTTCTGCTGAGGCCAGGAAATGGAAGTAAGGATAGGCAAGGAGTCCAAAGAGGTCATGGCAAGGATCCACAAGCAGCTGGGCAGAAGCAGCCATCTAAAGGAACCTAAAGCAACCAGAGCCTCTGGGCCATCTGCTCATCTAGCTGAGGAAACAAGTGTTTCTTTCCTTCCAAACCAGATCCCACTCACCTTCTGGACCGTGATCTCCTTGGGGGAGGCTCCCTTCGGGATGGGTATCGTAGTCGACCTTCATGCTCCCGACTGTAAGACCGCCTCCTCTTCCAGCGGTAGCTCAGGTATGGGTCTGGCTCTGGAGAGCGGTATCGCTTACAGTGATGCATCTAGGCCACAAGAAAGAGAAAACTCCGCTCAACACACAGTTCACTGCTTCCAACCACAGGGCTGCCTGGTGCAGCCAGGTGCTCCTGAAGAAGAGGCCCATTGTTCTATTTAGGGGCAGCCCCCTGCCCCCAGGGTTTATGAAGTAAAGAAGAACTCTGAGGTCACAGTGACAGAACAGCAGACAATGGGTGACTCCATCCTTTTGCCACTGAATAAACAAACAGGTGCCTCTCCAGCGTGGCCTAGGGGCCTGAACACTTGAACTGGATGAGTCAAGGCCAAGATACAGAAGTAAATCTCTTAGGGGGGATACTAAGCAGTGCCACAGAGATGTTGCTAGGACAGGGGGAAAGAAGAGCTTTGCTCAAGGTCTTCCTGCCTATGGAATCCTATAACCTAAATGTTCTAGGAGCCTGAAACTAAGAAAACTAGTGGCATGGAGCCAATGGTTTCAGACACTGAAAGCTGTCTTGCTAAAGCACTGAACTACACTCAACTCAAAGAAGTTGTGAGGAAACACAGTACAAATGAGAACACTAACCCGAGCAAAGACAGTGTCTCATCAAAATTCCCTACCTCTACTAGGGTCTAGCCAAGTGGGCACGGGCCCAGAGGCCTGCCCAGTCCTTGCTAGCCCATCAAGTCTCAGGCCAGAAAGGTGCCACAATCCTCAGAGACTCTAAGCTGCTTGCTTGAGGCACATTTCAGAGGCCCTCAGACCAACTACAGTCCCATACCAGGTGTTTCACCTTTGACCAACAGCATCACTGACATCCCATCTAGCTCCTCCTGATCAGCACTACTTCCTGTGCCTAGAAGAGGTGGCTGCAGGTTTACACTTGGAAGCAGAAGTAGGCTTTCTATTCACTATCCCTAGCCACTAAGGACTTATATCCAATACAGGAGACTCCCAAGCTGGATCAGCAACCAATTGAGGAAGGTGGCTACATGAGGCTGGTACCATTTTCACCCATATCCTGCCCCTTCAAGTTTTCTCCACCAGATGGCCAGGCAAGAGACCTCTGCTTGTTTGCTTTACAAGCCAGCAATTGCTCATATCCAATCTCTAGTCTTGCACAGTCCTAGGCTTGCCTGGCCCAGCACCTTTTAAACAAATTCATCAAGGTTGTTTCATCTCACCAGCATAATCCAAAAATGAAAACAGCTACTTGTGTATGAGCAGGACAGGGAGGCCAATTCATCTAAACCTCCAGGAGCCTCTGAGGACCCTAAGAAAGGCACTGCCTTCTATCTCCCCACTAGCAACCCTCTCACTGAAAAGTCTGGGCTACCCAGAAATCCTTGGAGATAAACACTACATAAAATCAGTACATTTGTTGTTTTCACAATCATCTGAATAATCTTTGTTTTTGTTTTTTTTCCCCAGTTATCTTATGGCAGGTGCGCAAGCTATGGCCTGAAAGCAGTGTCTCATGTCTAATTGACCCAAAAGACATCTTACTGGCCAGGGCACATATCTTCCCACAAGGCCAAGTGTGGTCCAGCCTGCCCATCCTTACCAGGCAGAAAAAGCACCCTATCTGGAGGATGTGGTCTAATATCCACCAGGTCAAAGTTTTCCTTCTGGGCCTTAGAAAACTTTTATGACCACATGTCTACTTGAGCTTCCGAGTCCAATGACAACCCAATTCACGGCATTATCCTTTCACCGCCTTCAGCCTCTTCTTGAAGCAAGGAGACAATAATCTCTTAAAAGATCTACAAGAATTAAAAATGTCTGCCCTATAAAGTCAAAAGCCTAGGCAGGTTTGGGCCATAAGAAGTACTGAAGACAGCCTTTCATTAACCCTGAGAAGGTTCTGGGTAACACTCAGGGTTATGATGAATGCCTTAATTTATAATCTTTTCCAAGGGATCTGGTAGAAAGTTTTGGCAGAAAACCCCGAACTCAATCCCAGTGCTGCCACTTACTGGCCCCGTGGCCTTATTTATACAAGTCACTTTAGACCTCAGTTGCCATGCCTGGAAAATGAAGATAACACCTGGCAAAGAAAGCCAAGTATGACGGCCATGAAGTACCACTTATAAGGTAGTAATGGAGATCACCTCCTTTGCAACTCATCCCGGACAGGTGAAATATGGGAAATATCAAGTGTCCCACGTCATCATACCAGCCAGGGCTTTCTGGGCCCATTTCTCATAATCCCTCTGATTTCCTGAGACTCAGCAGAGAGGCTTTTTAAAACTTAAGAGCCACAATTATGCTTTGGGAAGTTCTGCTCTGCACGATGAAGAATAAAAGTAAGCTAAGCTAAAAGAAACCAAGCTAAGAATGCTTTTCTCTGAGCAGGCCTAGCTGGCTTCTCATTTGCTGTTCCTGGCTAGAGAACCGGGCTTACAAGAAGAACAGCCAGCCAGGTCAGCGGCTGCCCTCCCGGATTCCTGCCACCCAAGCGACCCATGGTTATTTTTGGCTGGCAGTGCCCCACCACTGCAACCTCAAACCTGCCACCTCGCAAGCTGCGGCTGCCACCGGGCAAAACGCTCCTCCTTTTCAAGGGCACGGAGGAGGGAAGATGGAAGGCCGCCAACTCCGCCTTGACGGGGGCCAGACTCAAGCAATTCCCACCCAAGCATCAGGGCACCCGCACCCGGAACTAAAGCATAGAGGCTCCCGGCCGGACCGAGGAGCAGCCTGGACATTTGTACTCCCGGCTTGGTCTGCCCCACTCTCCGGGATGGAGCGGTTCCATCGTAACAAACACCGAGGGGGCCGGAGGCCCGCACTCGAGTCCCTTCCTTCCTCCTGGATCCCGGGGACCTCAGAGCCCCGTTCCCCGTAACCGCCAAGGGAAGACCCGGCGGCCAGAGGGAAGGCCAGCCTGGGCCAGAATCAAACTCCAGGCGGCGCGCGGCGGAGGTCTGCGGGCGGGCTAAACCTCGAGCCCGGGGCAGGGAAAGCCTTTCCAGGTTAGCCTAGGTCGGACGCGACCACAGCCGGCTGGCCCGCGCGGGGCCCAATGTGGAACGTCCCAGCCGCCTCGGAGGCCGCTAGGGCTCCGCCTCCGACACCGCGGGATCCAGAAAAGGGGTCTACAGTGACCGCCCTCCGGGAGAGAAGCGGCGGGTCAGGGGTGAGAGGTCGGGACCGCGGCCTGACGTGGGCCGAAGAGGGAAAAAGGTACACGCTGAGACCCGACCGGGAGCTGAGGTACCCGTACCAGCTTGCCCGTCCCCACCGACTCACCCAAGCCGCCCGGCCGTGGGCTCGGGCCCACACTCACCGTCTCCCAGGCTCCGGCTGCGGCTAGGCCCCACTCCCCACTCCGAGCGCCTCTTCCGCTTCCGGCTCCGGCCTCCGCCCGTGGCAGCACCGCCCCTTCGCGTGACGCAGCCGTCGGAGGCCCGGGCTCGACCCGGCCCAGAGGCCTGGCCGCTCTAGCCCCCAACTCGCAGGCTCTGGGGGACCGGCCTGCCCCTCTGGGGTCCGGGCCGCAGCGGTGGAGGTCTCTGCTGGGAGGTCCCGGGAGCATCCTCGGGCCGCGACCCGCCCCTCGCCGTGCTGTAGTGCACGTAGGCCCCCGAGGCCGCATCGGTGCTCGACCGCCACCGCGGCCGGTGCCCGGCTCTGGGCCGAAAGGAGGAACCCACCGGACTGCCAGGCTGGGTCCACCCCGCCGCCGCGGCCCGGCCGTGCTCGCCAGCCTCTTTCTGCGCGCGGAGAGGACTGGCATTGTTCTCCCGGGGCCCAGGAGGGCGCTAGAGACGAAAGCGGTCGGTGCGCCCGGGCAGAGGAAGGCGGGCGCGACTCCGCTTGCGCGCAAGAAGCAAACGACACATTCTACTCTCGGCTTGTGCGGGTTTTTTGAAAGTCTTGGCGCCACGCCCCAGCTCTCGAGCTTGCGGAGCAGTCTCCGGGAAGATCCCCGCGAGCCTCGGCGGTGGGGTCTGAGGAGAGGACGTCCCCTTTTCTTGAACACCTCAGAGCGTCTCGCTGCCAATCAACACGGTTGCTGGGCTAGGAAATCCGTGCCACACAAAGCGCTCCGTGCAACGCTCCAGCTCTGCCAGTCGAATTACTCGGTCATCCTTTTTGCTGCGGCCTCTGGCGTGACCCCTCCCACCTACTGTCCCATGCTTTGTCGTGGTAGGATCATGAGGCCCTATTTTTCCAGAAAAGAAAACAGGTCGCGGTCCTTTGGGAAGGCCTCGCTTTGACAGCGTCTCCGCCCCCGCGCGTCGCGCAGCCAAGCGGGCGGGTGCGGCACCTAATTGCCCCACGCCACTCGAGGCTCGTGAGGCTGGAGCAGCCGGCCAGGGCGGGGCATGACTTCCCTTCAGGATCTCGCTGACTCAGCGGGGACAGCCAGGGTTTACCATGTGCCCTGCTCCCCGTGCTGGATGAGATGCGCGCCCACCAGGCCCTGTCGCCACTGAGCCTCCCTCCTATGCTGAAAGTGTCGCTAGAGCCTCTGTCTCTGACGTAGATGGCCTGATATCTTCATCACCACCAAAGGAAACAGTGGCCAAGTTAAAAAAAAAAAAAAAAAATGCTGGGTGATTACGATTGCTAAGGTAACCTCAAACTGGCCCCATGGTCCCCTTCCAACCACACAGACATTCAACAGCAGCTTCAGCTGCTGCTTCCCCTAAGTCTCGCCACAGGAGCCAAAGATACTGAAAATTCCAGGTGTTAGAAGATGCAGTTCCCACCCTAGGCTCAGGGCCACAGTAACAGAATTTCATACGTTCACAGGTTTCTGTGGTGTCATTGCCTCCCACCAATATCACCCACTCACGTTTCCTCAGCTCTGGGAAACCATTATTCTCTGGTTTAATGACTACATTCTCAAAAAGCTTCTGTCTCCTGCCCTATACCGGGCATCAGGAATGGGCTATCGTCCTGCCTGCTCTCCTAACATGGAAAATCCAGGCGACCTACCCGAAGCTCCTCACCCCCACTCCAATTCCAGAAAGCACCCCTCCAGACTTAAACAGGTGCTGTCTCCTAGCCAGGTCCACTCCCGAGGTTGCAGCTTGGCGTTTCTCTTTGAGGGTCTCCTGTTAGAGCCTCGTTTTCTTGTCTCTCTTCACAAAAGAACTCTCATCTATCAGAAGTAAAGAATTGGTCCTGGAGTCAAGTTGGGTTGACTCATGCCTCCATATATAAATACACTCTTCATCTCTCCAGTGCTCTGCTGAGAGGTAACTCAGACCAGGCCATTCATCCTGGGAGGAGCCTTGCTGCTCACCCACTGCCCTTTGCTGGTAAGCCTTTCTGTGTGATTCCTCTCAGCACCAAGGAGATGTCTTTTTCTGCTTTATTCAACCACCCACAGCTCTGTTTCTCCCCACTTTTTTTTTAACCCCTCGGTTCTTGAGCCCCTATTCTCTCTATGTAGCTGTCCTTGCATTCCCCTCTGCCTGGAATGAATTGATGCACATTTGAGCCTGAGCCCCAAGGTCACCTCCCTGGAAAGCATCCTGAGAGAGGTCAGATTCCCCTGTGGTGCCACCCTCCCTTGGTTCCCCACACCCAACAGCCTGGTTTGGAAGGCCATGAACCTCTTAAAACAATTCAGCACAACCTTGCTCCTCAAAGAGGAAAATGGGCAGCCTAACTGTAGAGGCCTCTCTTCTACTCAGACCCAGTTAAGAGTGGAGTTGTGGGTCTGTGCTAGGGTATGAGATTAGTCCTCATGGTCTGTTTTAGAGTGGCCTTGAGTGGTGCTGATGTAGGAAGACAACCAAGAAGGGCTGTGGGAATAGGCCTAGAGTGGAGGGAGTAACAGGCTTAGAGGGGTAGGGACCGCTGGAAGGTTGTATTAACTTGAGAGGGACAAAGTTCTATGTGTTAGATCCATGAAAGGTGGGGTAGGAGAGAGGTCTGGCCACCATCTGCTCAATGGAGATGTCCTCTAGGCCCTTCCAAACCTGGAGTTGTAGACCTTGGAATGGGAAGGTCACAGAGTGTTCCTATAGGATTCCTGTGAGTGGATGAAATCCCAGGAGGACTTGATCCAGTCCTTGTAGGTGAAGAAGCCAGTGGTGGGGAAAGATGGTACCAGCTGAACTAGCTGATGAGTGGTGGGCTGAAGCCAGAAAAGTACCAGAGCAGAGATGAAGGCTTCTGGCTCCCTCATCACAAAGTAGTAGCTTGCAAATGTCCACCTGAGCCTATACTTTCCAGATTCAGTACTTGGAGGAAGTTCACCATGCAGTGGCAGAGTTGGGCAAAGTGGACTCTTCAGCCAGACAACTCTGAGTGCAAATTCCAGGCTTCCTGAGACTGCCAGCAAGACCAGAGACGCATATCATCTGTTTTCAGCTTCAGTTTCCCTTTTAACCTGGCTCTTGAGAGGATCAAACAGTCTTGTTGGTTGAGGATTCCCATAGCTCAGGGAAGCCTAGAACTGAAAACTAGAGGGTCGAGGCTGATGTTTATGTGAAGTATGAACCAAATCATCTAGGGACCCTGGACCAGGGGTATGGGGTGGGATGGATCCCCATTCTGCTTCTCAACTCAGACAGGACTTCATAGTCCTGCAGGGAGTTGTTGCATAGTGTCTGTGGACCACATACCCAGCCCTGCCAACTGTCCCTGGGACTCCTACCACCTGGGGCCACTGTTCTGTGACCACCCAGTGAGCCCCACTAAAGGGCTCAGGTAAGCACCAGCCTCCTGAAATCCAGGGCACAGCCCCTCTCTTCCTGTCAGGTGCTCAGCAGAGTCCCAGAGTGGGACAAGAGGCAGTCAAAGGGGCTTCAGGTCAGGCTGGCAGAGAATGGGCGGCAGTGGACCAAGCTGGACTAGCCACCTGTGAGTGGTGCCAGAGGCCCTGTTGGAGTAAGCCCAAATTCTGCAGAAGTGTGAGCACAAACGGGTAAAGCCAGGCCTGCTGTGAGCCAATGCTCACAGAAAATGAGTCTCCCATCTTCTCCCTAGGTCTTCTTTGCCTACCTGCAGCACCAACGAAGCCTTTTGTTTGTTTGTTTTTTGAGACAGGGTTTCTCTGTGTAGCCTTGGCTGTCCTGTCCTGGAACTCACTCTGTAGACCAGGCTGGCCTTGAACTCACATAGAGCCACTTGCTGCTGTCTCCCAAGTGCTGGGATTAAAGGTATGTGCCACCAACGCCCAGCCCAAGGAAGTCTTCTAAACTGACCAGAATGAAAGTTCTGGAGTGCTTGGAGCTTCTGCCCACGCCAGGATTCATGTGCTAAGAATCAGGGCATCTGGAAAAGAGAGGGGAATGGAATAGCTAGCAGGGAGACCCTGTTGAGCAGCCCTCTCTCATGGCTGTCCCTGGAGCCCTGCTTCTATTTGGAAGGCAAGTGCTGGGTGAGGCTAGGAGTACTCACTGGCTGGAGACAGAAGGGCCAGGAGACAGAAGAGCTTCCTTACATAACCAGACAAAATGACTATCACTGTCACCAGAGAAAGGGAGGTGACTTTGTAGGCTGAGGCTTCCTGGTAAGGTTATACCATCCCTGCTCTATGCAAGGGTATGGATAGAGCCACTTTGATTGCCATGATGTTAGAGTATTTAATGACTCTGTGTCTCAGCCTATTGACCCTCATGGGTCCACTGCTCTCCACCTGGGCTGGGTGACCCTCAGAACCCAGGTGACAACCATTTCCTTAGCCTCTCTGCTCTCTAGTATTGCACAAGAGTCCCCATTCCTCTTATTGCTGCCCTGAGCTCTGGAGTAATTTTCAGCTACAAGGGAGAAATGGTGTGTGTATAGGACCAGGTGTGGGTGGACAGTGTGTGTCTGAAGCTCTGCAGTAAGAGATAACAGCTGAGCAGCCTACCTTTCACCCCCACCCTGAGCTATGAGCCACACTCCCTTGTGTATAAGCCATCAGCTAGGCCCCTGGCTAGGAATCTGCTTTATCAGAGGCTGCAGACTAGGATGAGCCAGCACTCCTCAGCTTCTCTGCAAGGCTGCTGCCTTCAGCATTCTTTCCAGAAGGTGGAATGCTTTCTGGCCTACCAGAGCAGGAGGCACCTGCTGCAGGGACAACAGGAGCAAAAAGAGATGGAGGCCAGAAAATAAGTGAGGGTAGAGACTAAGAGGGAATGGGAGTGGTAAAGGACAGACAGCTCCCACTGCAGACACTGGAGGGAAAGGCACAGCATTTGGACCAGGCATGTTGACAGGCTCTTGGCCCAGAATCTAGCCTAGAGACCCCCAGGGTAAGGACGATACAAGAGCCCCTCCAAACTGGATGTATGGCAAAGCTCTGCTCCCGGCTCTGTTACAAGTTCAACTATGCCCTGTACTTTATTCCCTGGTCTTCCTTCTTGAAGCAGGACCCAAGGAAGGCGTATAATAAGCAGGCTTTTAGCCAGAAAGAGGGACCCCCTTCTTTACCTCTCATTTAGGTTTAGGAGGTGAAAACTTGTTGGAGTAAGTGTGGCCTTGTTAGAGGAAGTGTGTCACTGGGATGGACTTTGAGGTTTCAAAAACTCACATTAGGCCTACGCTATGCTATCATTCTCACTCCATGCCCCACTCTCCTACAGCACCATGCCTGCCTGCTGCCTTGCTCTCTGCCACCATGATAATGGACTAAGCCTCTAAAACTGTCATAAGAGTTGCCTTGGCCATGGTATCTCTTTCAGCAATAGAACAATGACTAAGAAAGTATTCCCAAGAAAGAGTGGCTCAAGGGTTCAGGGAAGAGGGGACTTTATGGGTAAACCCTTCAGGGCTAGCCTGGGCCCCACAACTCCAGCAGAGGCTGAGTCTCTACTCTGATGTTTTGGGTTCTTCTTAGTAAACAAGGGCCTCAGAAAGAGCCCCAGAAGGGCCCTTTTGGAGCAGTTGCAGCAGCTGCAGGGAGAGCTGACCATATTAGAGGTCCATGCACAGGCCCTCAAGAAGTCATGTGGTTGCAGGCAGCTCTGGAGATCTGTAACCAGGACACCTGGTAGATGGTTGCTTGGGCACACTCCTAAATTGTGCAAGTTATGCTGGTAGGGGCTCCCTGTTCTTACAGAGTGAGATGACTCCATTGGCAAGAGCTCGATCACTGGTTGGTAAGAAGGGTCAGAACCGAGTCACATGGCCAGAGTCCAACTCCTTTCTTGTGTATCTGTGTTCCTGTTGGTCACATTCGGGATCTTTTATGGGGCACTAGGGGAAAATTTTAGTTTTAAGAAGTCTTATCGCAGGCCGGGCAGTGGTGGCACATGCCTTTAGTCCCAGCACTCAGGAGGCAGAGGCAGGTGGATCTCTGTGAGTTCAAGACCAGCCTGATCTACAAGAGCTAGTTCCAGGACAGTCTTCTAAACCATACAGAAACCCTGTCTTGAAAAACAAAAAACAAACAAAACAAG